ACCTTACTTCTCATATAAATAATATTTAACACATTGTATATACAATATTTTCACTTTACACTCTTACTACATTCTTTTTATTTCATTATTATTTGGTGTCAATAGAAGAATCCACTAAACCAACAATCGAAAAAATACACGCAAACACAATGATCCCGGCCGTGCGCTTGCGCGGGGAGTATGCAACTAGTATGCTAAAAGCAGGACTTGGTTATACTTGTTTCTCCGTTGGTTGATCAAGAGGTAGAAAAAGAGTACAATCATAGCAATAAATGGCACTTATATTATGATAAATTATGAATAAATGGCTCATAAACTGTTTAGAGAATACTATTCAAAGGAGCATAAATTAGACAAAGCTCTGACATTCAAAAAGTTAGAATCTATAATCACAATAGTACACTTGCAACAGTTCTGAACATAATCTGAGTCTTTCCCTGCAGAGATGGAAGAAGATGGAGTTAATTGTTTCCTACAAAGAAAAAGTTGAGAAGAAAACCACTTCAATTCCAGAAACCATTTTGGTTCTCAGTAACCTCGTTAAGGGCAATAGCTTTCTTCTCGTTGAGAAGTAGCAATGGCCTGGTACCTAATCCATATTCTCAAATATTGGTTAAATTTTAAGATCAAGGGCCAAGAGGCAAACAAAATCTTAGTAATTTGAATTAAAAAAACTGTCGGCATCATTACATCATACCCTTTGTACTCTCTGTTATGTTTGATCATTGATCATCATCCACCCGCTGATACATTCCAACGTTAAGACTTTCAATTCAACAAAAAAGTATATATAAAAAACAAAGCTTACTTACAACGTTTACTGCCCAATTGCTCTGGATACAGTTTACTTTAGCCCTGTTCATTATCTCAGTTCCCATAGTGTAAACACGTTCTACGACATCTGGGTTGCTCAGGATAAACCTAGCTACAACAAAGAATAAAAAGAGTCTTGATTTCAATCTAGATGGCCAATATCAAACCACAAAAAGTCTCATTTAAAGACAATGTATTAGACCAAGCTGCACTGCCACTATCCTTGAACAAAATAAAATTGCACCAATTAGAAAATTTGAAAAATTGAATTTCTAAAGCAGCAAATTAGATAAAAAAATCTTTTGATTTCATGTTTCTACTCTTGTTCTTTGAACAGTTCCCGATCAGATTATGTTACGCAATGACAATCAACAAAAGCCAGGGTCAAAAGTTTGAAAGAAGTTATCTTATACCTACCAAATCCGGTCTTCACCCACGGTCCTACACAGATTGTGGATGTAGAGTTCTATATAAACGTAGAATATAGGTTCTAAAAAATGTAGAGTTTACTGTTTAACGTGGAATATGAGTTCTACTATGCGGTTTTTCGTAGAATATGAATTCTACTTTCCGTAGAACGTAATTAAATTTTTTATTTACCAAGTTTTTTAAAATAAAAAAAAATATCAGTTTCTGTATATAGGCATTTAATCACTTCTTTGTATTTTTAAATATTTTTCGAGTCATATAATTATATATTTAATTAATTTTTATAAATGGAAAGGGTAAAATGGATAAAAAAAATGGACAAAAAATATCTTATACTAAAAGGACAAGAGATCTGTTTTTCTGTTCTATATTAGCATAATTCCCAAAGAAATAATCACCGTCAAAAGATTTGGTCAAGTTAAGAATTAGGTTGATTAGAACAGAAGGAATGTCATGTTGAGAGTAACATTTTTGGTTTGATTAAGGTGAGTGGGCTTGGGTGCGTGGATGTTTTTGTTTGATTATTGCATGGTTAGTCAAGTCAAATTTTCTAAGGTCAGGAGTGTCACTTTTAGATATCGCAGTTTACCCAATATATACCACATTTCCATGTTTTGATGTTTTTCCTAAATATGGCCGGATCACCTTAGGTCCAAGGTTTTATGATCTAAAACCTTAAATTCTGATGTGATCCGTGAGGTGTCGTAATCTTGTTTACAAGGACAAGGTGATTCTCGATTATTCTTGATGTAGCAATGCAAAGAAATCCGTGAGGTGTCAATTTGTTATCCAAATGGTGAAGATGATAAAAGACATACAGCTAGCTTTGGTTTAACCCTCAAACTGTTTATCCTCTTTCATGTTTTAGGCACTCTTTTTGTTTCAATTAAGATCTAGTTATGTGTTTTTCTTCTTTTGGAATTTAATCATTTACCACAGCACCTAATGGTGTGCGTGGATCTATTTAGTTTCTTATCTATTATGTTATTTTATGATACGCCTGATTTTATACCCATTATTTGGAAAGAAATAAATTTTCAGTGTTAAAAAAAAAGCAACGCAAAAAAGTATGAGATATTTAAAATAAAAATTTAATCAATTTCATCTGCTCATCCTAATATCACAAAATATCAAAATTATTGGTCATGATCCACATAAAGTCTTTAAGGGTTGACCAAACCATGAATTTTAAATTAATTTTGTGCAACGAAAAATCAGTGGCTTAACACTACTAAAAGTTACATATAAAGCATTCTTAGGCTGTCCACATAGGCAGATATAATTGACCACTAAGATAGCTTCAAACTTCCACGTTGGACCCAATATACCGACACCAAACCAGTTTGGTTTTCAACTCTGATTTTTAATTAAAATTCATGGTTTGGTCAACCCTTAAAGAAGCGGAGAATCCTAGGAATCATTTATTCCAATTCCTTACGACTCTCTCCAATTCCTTTCGACTTCCTGATGTTTGATTTATTCTTCCGTTTTGCAGATAGCTGTAACCACTCTCTGCTCTAATCAACTCTCTGTTTCTTCTCATTCAATGGCAATCGCCTTTCACCTTCCTCTGCATGTTGGTATTTATAGCTCCATTCACCCTAGATTATGTTTCCATTCAACTCAAAATACTTTCTACTGCACATTTATCCGATGGAGAACACTGGCAAAGCTTCATTCACCTCCTGTGAGAAGTCGAAGAAGATGATTCTCGGATCCTCCCCGAATGCTCACTCACCGGCCAAAACTTCTGATACCACCGCGATTGCCTCCAAGCCTCACGGGAAGGCAGTTGCTACGTCTTCTGCTCCGACCAAACCAAAAGTCGCTTCTGCACTCCCCACCGCGATTCCCGACCAAGTGATGCTTTTCAGAGATGTTTCGATCGGCCCACAAGAAGCCACTTTGGTGTTCCGCCTAATTCACTTATGGGAAGCTATTAATCCCAAAACAAAAACCCTAATTGGACAAGAAATGGTTCTTATTGACCAAGAGGTACGTGTAGAACTGTTTATCTAATTCTGTACTTTCTTGAGAATTGATCGATTCCTGTGATATTCTAAATTTTTTTTTTTTGAAATAAATTGTAGGGTACTGTTATCCAGGGATTTGTTCCACCAGGACGGGTTGGTACACATGATTTCGTATCGGGTTGTGTTTATAAACTGGAAATTTTTATGGTTCCAAGAATAAACCACTGTATCGAGTTGCTGATCATGTAGCGACTGTGTCGTTCTCTTGGAATTCTGTTTTGTCGGTCCTTGACAACTTTCCTGTGCCAATTGAGGAGGACCGGTTCAGGATCCATAGTGTTGAGGAGTTTCAAAGGAACTGTGATGCCAAGGGAGACATTTATGGTAAGTGTTTTTGCTTTTCTTAATTTTGTTTTCTACCTGTTGAAATATATCAATGGTTTGAATAAGGCCATGTAAATTTCGTTAAGGACAAGTTGTGAGGCAACATTTGTTAGGACTTACGTGCTCCATGACTCAAGAAAAAGTCGACGATAGAATCATTATCATTCATCACTTAGGCATGTTTCATGTTTGTAAATAACTACATAGTATTTAAAATTAGATAAATGTAGCACTATAATATATTAATTACGGAGGTATACAACAGAATTTTGTAGCATAAGTAGCTTTTTAGTTATTATTTTATTCCGACGTTTGACAAGTTAGCAGATTTGAATTTCCATGTCTGATGTTTATATTTCACTGTGACAGATTTTGTTGGGCACATGAAGCTTCTGGACGAACAAACTATCACTGAGGATACTGTCCGCGATGAAGTTGCCATTGGCGAAAAACGCCACCTATGTGTCCATGTCCAAACACATGAGTAAGATTGCCATTCCTTAGTAGTTTTTTTCTTTGCTCGGTATTATCCTTTAACCAATGCGATTTAACCTTATGCAGTGGGCCCGTGGTGAAGCTCTTTCTTTGGGACAAGGCCGCAGCTGATTTCTGCCAGAAATTCAAGTCATATGGATCTAAACCAAGTGTCCTTTTGGTCACCACTCTGAACCCTAAACGTGTTGGAGGTTAGATGTTAAGATACCCAATTATTATTGTCATCTGAATCATCTAGATCTCTGTGCTATCTAGACAAATACTTGTGCAAAAACATATATATCTTAGTGGCAATAGTTTAAAGCAGCCGCCTTTAAGTAATTGAATCTGTAAGATGAGATGATAAATGTGTATTTCAAGCTAGGTCTTCATAAATTTTATTGCTTCTCAACGTTTGACTTAATTGATTTGGGTGCTGTTTTGTTGATTTAGTGTGTGACCATACAACCCCATTTGATTTTATTCATTTTAGTTTAAATTTGTATGTGACGGTGTGCTTTTCCATTCATATCAGTATTATTTAGTTGTTTAGTTTTGGAAATTGTTTGGTTCTAAACAACTCACATGTTATGTGCAGGAACTCTTTGTCTCACTTCCATGTCATCATCACGAGTTTTCATGGACACAGATGTGGGGCTTACCAGGGATTATATAGGATGGTTTGGATCTTTGTTTTTATATATTTTTATGATGAGATTCCAAATTTCAAGTTTCTTGCTGTTAACCTATTGTTGATTTTAACCTTTTCCTCAGGTTAGGCTCTAATGGTGACATTGCCAACAAGATTGACGCAGAGATTGTTACTAAGCCTGAGGTGTTTAGTCTTGATGAGATTCTCTCCTATGTGAAGCAGGAATCGGCTAAGGTACAAGTGATGTACTATTGTACTGAAACATATTCTTTGAGATGTGCTTATGTGTTTGTAAAGTTTATTTAACTTTTTCAAAATACAGGTGGCTTGGTTCGAATGTACCGCAACGATTGATGATTTTATCCATGGAACACCTTGGTATTACATTTCATGCGATGGATGTAATAGTAAGGCTGTCAAAGGACCAAACTCTCTGTTATGTAACAATAACAAGTGTGAGAGGAGGCAAGTCTCAGGCGTACCTCAGTAAGTGTTACTGTCATGACTTGAAATTCTTTTAAGGCGCCACTCATTTCTAATTTTATTTCTAATTTCCTTTCGTTGCAGATATCTTACAAAGATTTCTGTTTACGATAAGACCGACCAAGCAGTTTTTGTAGTTCTTGGTGATGCTGGGAAGGTGTTGACAGGGAAGCCTGCAGCAGAATTAGTGGCCAATTATTTCGAGGTAATTTTTAAATTACTTGCACATAACTCTAATAATTTCAACTTATTTATATTCCATTCGATGGTAGGCTAATGACGACGTCAGTGCTGATCATTGTGTGCCAGTTCCTCAAGCTCTTCTTGATACTATAGGGACCACATTCAAATTCATTGTGAAGGTCTCAGAGAAAAAATTAACCGGCAAGTTTCAGTCCCTAACTGTGACCAAGATAATACCAGCAGATGCTCCACAACTTGATGGACGATTGGAAGATGAGGAAATTACAGGAACCTCTGAGGATATTTTGAAGACTGACAGTGGGGACGCAGGTGCTTCTGTAAGCGTTGAATGTTCTGCAGGTAGTAAGCTTAGAAAAGCTACTGATGGTCTTGAGTCACATGGAGCAAAGCGTACAAAAAGTGGCTAATTCAGCTCCAACCTATCATTCAAAGCAGTGATCGTAGATCCTGCACTTTATTTACTGCTTTTATGTTTTGCTACTGATTCTGGTTTTTTTCATTTCAAATTTTCAGACATTTTTACAATTATAGACAACTTATGTTTCTATGAATCCTACTGTTTCTTGATAAAGAAGGCTTTCCTTTCCTTTAACAGCAATAATGTTCAATGCTTTAATTATCACAGCTTCTACTAATGTACAACGAGGAGGCTTATCATATAAATTGTTACCTAACCTCTAAGTTATGTCCTTAATTCTGTACATGGTCCTTTTTGATGGAGCCTTAAAGCTATACTTCTCTGGTTACATAACCAAAAACAAACCCATTCTCTAAACATATCCCTGTATGTATAGAGCTATACACATGATTATAATTCCTAAATTAAAGTTTGGTCCTAATAAATACAAATGTACTTAACATATACATATATATAATATATATATACGGTTTGATTTATATATTACTTACCATAGTTTTCATCTTAGTTATTATAATTGTTGCATTTCATAAACAAAACGACTCTCCCCTATAGTTTACATCCCCTCCCACCAGTTGCAGGTTTTGTCTATCCCGTCCACCAGTTGCAGGTTTTGTGTATCCCATCCACCAGTTGCAGAGTTTACATCGACAATTGTTGTTTTGAAGGGTAACTGTAACGTCGCCATGGATTGCCAACCTCCACATGACCCCATAGAATACACAGGTAAATTAATCTAAATCCTTCTCGAGATGGAGTTTTAAAAAATATTAGGTTGGGTTCTGTTTTTTTTCTTAATAGTATTGAAACATATAGGTGATGATTGTTTCTTTGGTTTCTAGATTTTAGATTTTGGTTTCTGATTTTTAGTTTTTGGTTTTTAGATTTTAGATTTTGGTTTTTGGTTTTTGATGTTGCAGTAGATTTTAGTTTTAGAGGAAACATGAATGGTGAGTTTAGATTTTGGTTTCAGTTTTTGGTTTTCACTTTTGAAATAATAAGTGAAATTATTATTAATAGTAAAATATTTATTCTACAAATGATAAAATATAAAATATTATTATCAGAATACACATAAGATTTTTACATATTAATAAAACAGAAAAGAAAAAAATTCTACATTTAAACATACACTTGAAAAAACTAATGTCATAAAATATTATTAAAAGTAAAAATAATCATTAAAGAAAAAGAATTGACTATCACTTCATTATTAGATAAAATATTATTTAACCGTAATAATTTTAATAAAATTAAACTGTATTATAAATATATATATAGATATATATATATATATATATATATATATATATTTGACTGTGGTTAATTTTACTAACAATATTAAAATTATAATTCAAAATTTCCTTAAAATCCTAAAAAAATAAATAAAAAATAAAAAATAGTTTTATTAAGACAGCTTATGTTGTAGTTTAGGATTTAAATTAAAATGATAGAAAAAAAATAGTTCATTCTTAATAATTTGGAATATTTATTATTTTGTCACTAATCTCTTTTTTATCTATTTATGCTAATATCAGTGCATAAATATAAAAATGTTAATATTTTAATAAAAAACCAAACTTAAAAAAAAAACTTAAAAGTCACGTACACCCTAGGAAACAAAGAAATTGTGGTTTTTGGTAAGAGATAGGTAGTTACTTTCAAAATCTGTTTTCCCTCAATTTTTGGGAATCTATTTTGCAAAAATCTTGATTAGTGAACAAGTAGTTTTTATAAAATCGAAAACCAAAAACTACTTTAGAAACTACAAACAATCAACCTCATAATCCCGACAAATAATATTAAATCTCACTATTTTTTAAAAACAAAAAAAAAAGCAAAAACACACCACTATATTTTAATATGATAATTTCACTAATTAACTTTTTGTTTATTTATATTGATTTTTTTAACAGAAATATACATATATATATATATATATATATATGTATAAAAGTTTATGAAATATTAATGTTAACTCCAGGTTAAATCAGCCATGTCAAGCGATCTTCTAGAATTGAAATCGAAGCATTGAGAATTCAACATATATAGATTTCTGATTGATTACCACCAAATCGTCCATTATATACAAACTAAGATTTACAAATATAACATTATTTATAAATTATGTATACAGTAAATATTTTTAGTCATTGTCTACTACATACATATCTAAGAGTTACGATGATGAGGTCGCATTGTTATTAACTCTTATCATCCGGAATTTATGACAATTATTCCATTTAACAATTTATCTCATGTTTTACAGTGACATTTCCCACCGATCCCATCCCTCAGAGAATTCACCAGCTGGAAGAAGGGTTTTCAGCGTGCCCTATAAGGGTCTGTATCAGGAATATTTGGGACATCCAAATTCCCCAACCAAGTAACTCCAGGAAATGCATCGGCTTCATATGCTATGATTACCACGTAAGCAATATAATATAATTTTTACATATAATTACATATTCTCCACATTTTAGTTTAACGGTTTCGTCTAACAAATTTATTCACCTTCAGAGGGTACTACTGGAAGGTCTAACTCTCCACCAACACCCACCCAACTGGTCCAAATTTGATAACCGAAGGAGATTCGTACGAAATATCAGGATTTTTCGTCAAACGGAACACCCGGAAATGGAAATTAACACGTCTCCCGTACATCATTCACCTCAATCAGTGGTCAACAATGTTAAATGTTTCTATCACCGTACATCTTATGTTCTTTTTCAATTACTTACGATTCATTCGGAATTTTGTTTTGCTTAGACAAAATAAATTTAGTGTCATTTGGTTTTCCTATTCTCATTCATACCCATCTAGATTCTTGAATTATTTTAATATGCTTGCTGGAGAAAATAAAATTTAATGATTGGACTTTATTAATTAAGTACATCAACATATACGTATAAGATATTCTACAATTTACTTATTAAACATAAAAAATATACAATATTACCCGGGCGTAGCCCGGGGATCGGATCTAGTATATATAAAAGAGAAGGGATTCTCTTCTTAAGGTGTCCACATCAGCAAAAGAGAGGTTAACATTTTAGACATGTGGCAAGATATGAAAGACTCAATAATGTTGTGCTTCTCCATCTTCTTTGTAACATCTTCATTTATTGCCACTTGAAAACATTAATCCAAATATTGATTTATGATATGAGCAGAACAAAAGAAAGAATATGTTTTTACCATCACATTTCAGATCCCTGCAAATTTTTAGACTTAATCGAATCAGATTTAATCTATTGAAGAAAATGTATATATGTATTTTTCCATGATAAAAGGGTTTTCTTTAATAAAAAATGATTACATGAAATAGAGAATAACAACAATGAACCATAACACATGAGCTCTAACCAGCGAAACAAATCTCAAAGGGTATATACATATTATTATGAGTTTTACTAGTTACTAGAGATACTAAACCAGAGAGCAAACGATATATACATATTATTAGGAGTTTTACCAGTTACAAGATTTAATGTCAATCAATTTCAAGATTTAATTTCAATAAACTTCAGATGAAAGATTATACATAATCATATATGAATCTATTATGGGAAGTTTGCTCTAGATCTTTTATCATAAATTTTATATGATTTAGGCTACTCTTACAAGAGATATAACATATTTTCACTATATGTATATAGATAGAGTACTCTCAAATAATGTCTTACTAAACTATATATTTTACTTTGTTGTCAAGGGACATTCAAATGAAGAATCATCAAACATTTTTGTTGCTCTATAGACAGATTGGATAATGAATGCGACTTCATCGTCTTTTCGTTCACCTATGACATAAATTGACAAGAGTTCTATTCAAAAAATTTAAAGTGAAGTGAAGACATATAACATGCAATGGGTAATCATTTCCTAAGAAAAAATATATAAAGAATATAAGTTTTATTTAAGTATGGTTATGATTGTGTAGTATATTTCTAAGAGTGAATATTTAAGCGTTGGATATAATGCTATGTCTGGAAACCTGTCAATATATATACTAATTTATATGTTTAGAGATCTCACAGATTCTCTAAATCCAGCTACACCTCAGATCATTGATCAGTCTACAAGATTTAGACTCCCATTAAAGTCCCTTGACCATTTCTCTCAATATGTCTCGGCTATAAACATCCAACTTGAATAGAATCTTATTTAACTAAAAAAATTGTATTTATAAAAAATTGTAAACCATTTTTAATTTAAACCATCATGGGCTATAAATTCATGCTAAAGCACATCATGTATAGTTATTCGATTGTTTTTTATAAACTTCGAGATCTGAGATTAATATACATATTAAATAGGATAAAAATTAATCAATATTTTGTAAAATTGTGTGAAAAACAAAAAAAAACATACATAATTGTGGGATAATATTGACACTATGTTAAATGAGTCATTATAGTTGCTAAAAAATAGTAAAATACATAGATAAATTTGTTGTAAAATAATTATAAACCTATTAATACTAATTTTATGTTAAATAAGTTTAAATTATTTATCATCTCTATAATATTATTTGAGAAGTCACTTTCTTATGTGTCGCACTCACGTTAACTCTCACGCTGGTTGATTACTATGATACCCCTAATGAATTAAAAAATACATTTAAATATTATTATTTCCTTATAATTTTTTTTCCAAATAACAATATAAAATAAAAAGGAAACATGTATAAAGTTTACAAAACTATTTAAAAACGAAAATATAAGTATATATAAATATGGTTTCATAAAAATGGAAAGTTCACAGAATAGTAATATTTAATTTAAATATATTTTAAATAACATAAAATATAATTTTGAAGTAATAAAATACTTTCCTTAAATCTATATCTTCTTAGAAAAAAATTTTTTTAGATAATGTGATTTCATAAAAAAACATTTCACACATATAATCTTTATGATATTAGAAAAATAAATATTTTTTCTTTACAAAAATAATTATAAAAAAAATAAAATATATATCTTTTCA